CGCCAGGTGTCGCGGGGGTGGAAGGGGAGGGGGCGGCAAGGTTGCGAAAGTCGGGAGGAAGGTCCCTGGAGGGGTCGAGAAGGATTGGCAAGACTCCCAAAGACACGCCCCCTTCCCAAAGGGGGAGACCCTAAAATGGGGAGGGGGTTGACCCATTTCCCCCCCCCTACTGGACCCCCCCTTTTTTTCCTCTCTTGTTCAGAATGGTCGAGTCCTGATTTGAATGAAACGACCGGTGGGGCTGGGGTCCCCCCCCCCCACCTCCTCCTCTTCCTCGACCCCCCCCTCCGGGTGGTGGGTGTGGCCAGGCGACGCCCCCGCCCCTCCCCTCGTGGAGGGGACAGGACCGGCGCGCTGAAGATTGAGGGGGGGCCAGAGGCGCCTGGAAGTGACCGGCGCCGGAGGGTCTTTTGAGGAGGGTGGGGTGGGTTCCCGCCGTCTTTAAATAAAGGGTCCCCCCGGCTGAAGGGCTCGGCTTTGGTGGGCAGGAGGCGCCAGGTGAGTCCCTCCGGGCTTCTGGGGTTTTTTGGGGGGGCGGGTTCCAGCATCCTTGGGGGAAGAAGATCTGACAGGTGAGACTGGCAGGGCGGGCAGGTAAGAGGCTCTTGGTTCTGGCTTGCCCCAGCGAGAGAAGCCAGGGCTGGCCGTTCAACAGGTGGAGGAGAGCCTGGGAACTTCTCTCGACCTGCTGCCTTCTCAAGCCGTCCTTCCCAGAACAACGGGAAGGTCCTGGGGCGGGGGGGGGGGGGTCTCTGAGTTTCTTCGCAGACCCCAAGATGCATTTATTCCACCCCACCGGAGGCGACTGCACTTCCTTTGGTTTTTTTTTTCTTTGAAGGTTTTTGTTTAAATGAAATTGTTATTTTATTTTTAATTATCTTTTCTTTGTGAAGAGCATGGGCACTAAGACATATTCCTTGTGTGCCCAATCACATTTGATCAATAAAGAATATTCTTTTCTATTCCTATTCCTATTCCAATTCCTACTTCTATTCTTATTACTATTCCAATTCCTACTTCTATTCTGTTATTCTAGTCTATTCCTACTTCTACTTCTATTCTTATTCCTATTCCTATTCCAATTCCTATTCCTACTTCTGTTATTCTATTTCTATTTTTATTCCTATTCCTACTTCTAGTTCTACTTCTATTCTTATTCCTATTCCAATTCCTATTCCTACTTCTA